CAGTCCCTCGTGATATTTTTGAGTTGGCTACTGCACAGAGTATTCAGATTTGCAGTGGTTATTCCTCCAGCAGCAGCGCCAGCTTTGATGTCTGTGGGTTGAGATTCTTTGAATCTGGCACTTTTATACTGGGTTTGAATTCGTCCTTAGAAGTTGCCGAATTATTTTATACAAGAGAAGCGGAAAATGCTTAATGGAAAGAATTTCAGTAAAGCTTATTAGGGGACCAACAGAGGGTACGCTATGTGAGCTATGAGAAGCACATGGGGAGTTATGTGACTAACAGATAAACCTCTGTGAAGCAATCACACAAAACGAAACGTGAAGGTGAGGTCCAAAGAGATGAGAAGAAGCAGGTGGCAGAGATTAAAAACTGACACCATATCGGATTACGGTCCAGTCACATCGCCATAATAAACAGCTGATTATCGGACAAAGAAATGGATGATAATAATAATAAGATTACAAGGAAACGAGATAGCGTAATAGTAGTAACACAGGGTACTTTTCGTCGAAACGAGAATAACGATATGGGGTTGTGTAAAACGAAACAGTAACAATAACAGTTAGCAAATGTAGGCCACTATCATGAAAGTGATAATCATTTCTTGTCGAACACAGAAACCATCTTTATAAACGATTATTATACAAACCTTTGTAGTTGCGTGCACCTTCTTTTTTGTTTGCCCGCTGACCGCAACAAATGACTTGACAGTGTCAGTGCCATGTCAGCAGTTTATGATATGTTTCATTAATAAATTCGTTATTTTCTTCAACTAACCAGGAAAGTGCTGCATCATGCATTACCTATGTATCTGCGTCACACAAAACTGTAACGTCCAGCTTGAAATGACAAAGACAGGAGACCCACCTTTTCAAGGTTGTTGAGGCACTTCCTCTTGGTGGTAAGGAGTCCGAGCTTTGAAGGCAAAGTAGGCTCTTCTAACGGCCTTGCCAGGTCCTTGATTAATCGCTGATTGTACATCACCTAATTTAAATGGTAGACACATATATACTTCGTTTTATGAAACTGTTCGAGTGGCTTTATTCATCAGAACACCTACTAATAAGCCCCAAAGGACACTAACATCGCATTGTGTAGTGTCCTAACTGGCTTCCCTGATGTTAGATGGGAAAAAATTCCTAAAGTGTATGTACCGTTCAACCCACGAGGAGATTGTTACGACATCATCATAGACGAAACATAAGACGGCGTATAGTTAGCATATGTGACACATCAAAAGATAAATTTGTTTGACATACCAAGCGGCGATACGGTTTAATTTGTCGATGACATTGCAACAGTAAACAATTCTTCGAAATTATTGGGTACTGACCTCTACTGTTAAAGCTGACTTGTTAGGCCAAAGGCGCACGGTCAAATATCAACTCCATTTACCTCTTCACGTTATGCTTAGCTAGTTGAGTGTTCAATAATGAATGTTCCCCATCTCCGAGTACGCCTTGTATTTCGGTCGATCTATTTGTTACTTTATTTTATTTATTTATATTTTTGATTGCAGCTTGATTCTATACCGTATTTTTGGTACAAGTGTGGAATTTTCAGCATGGATATCGGTAGCCCGAATTTCGCAGGCCGATCATTGATATCGGGTGTGCGTCGGCAGGGAATCGAACCTCAGACTATGTGCATGGTCGGCGAGAGTCCTAACCACTGTGCCACCGACGCACAGTGGTCTGTTCAACCTTTTCTTTATAGAATCTAATCATATGCTGGTATCTTTTTAATCCTGTTGTGTGCATCCGTGATTATTAATTTCACCATCTGTTTTCTATGTTGTTTGGCTAATTTCCAGCCTAGAGGGCATTGGTTTCAGGATAAACGCTTGTGATTGCCTAGAGAGCATTTTTCGTTAATCCCACCATCCCCTAAATCACTGTGAGCACGATTTATCGCTCGTATTCATATCATTGTCGTGTACAGCTTTACTTCCTGTTGTACTCTACTGCAATTTTCCACACAACAGGCTTAAGTATTGCTTCACTATGGCATAGATTCGCTGAATTACTTATCTTTTTCACTTAGGTATAGTGTCTTTTGGCAGTTTTCAGCTATTCCACCCTATTGAATAGCTCTGTAGAACATGATACTGTATGGCAATACGGAAGGATCTGGTCGCTCAAATATACTCAGTGATTATGGAAATCAGAAGGATGAGACGAGTAACCAAGTAGCAGCTATATCTTACCAATAATTTGTAAGGATTTCCTTATCTATTCATCTGTTGTTTTGACTAGGTTTCCCACTTCACTTATCATCGCCTTGGTTTCAAAAATGAGGATGAATAACCAGAATTTTCCCTTCACAAAAATAAAAGCTGTCATTCAGAAATTTGGGCAATTATTTTGGTGGAAAAGCTGGCTCCTAGACTGATGAGGGCAGCTTGACCACAACACACCTGTATTATTATCAATAGCTGAATTTTATATATTTCTGTCTTCCGGGCTGCTTGTTCGGATACTTTCTCCATTCGTACGTGCTTTTCAGCTAAATTTTCTTATTCATTACAGAGTCTCATCTACCAAGCGTAGAAACTGAACTTAGGATCTACTTCTATATAGGAGATTCCATAGCAACTAGCCCACTTGGATTTCGTGAATTTGATCGACATGACGCATAACTATGACATACTCAACAAGGGTATTAATTTTTCTGGCATAGGAATAGGTTTGAAACCGTCTGATGTTAGTACGTGTATTCTCAGTTACCCTTGCCGATTAGCAAAGGGGTGTAGAAATTCATGCTACCCCCGCGAATCCAGCAACACTACACAGCGCAGAGTGATGAGATGACCATATCTAAAAGGCAGCGCACACAATGGTTTCTTCGAGCGCAGCAGGTGCAAGATAGGTCATATCACAGTACTTGCACCACAAGAAACAAGGCAAGGCTGGGTCCAAGCCCCCCTAGAGTAAGTGTAACAGTCATTGGATGTTGAAGGTCCTGACTCCTCACTTGAACACTTGCCTGAACGACCTTGGAGAGGGGATGACTTGCAAACACATAGTTGATTTACACGTGCTTAAGCAAACGTCCAAACACTTCAGAACTTGTTGCCAACGCTAGATTACTAACAGAAAAAGTGATATAATTACAGCTAACACAGGGAAACTTTGGCAGATCATTCATTAGAGCATTTGTAGATCGAAAAGTAAACCAAAACAAACTACATTGACGGGCCAACTCTGTTGCAGCACAGTCAACCAAATGTACACGAACAAGCGCTGGGTATGAACTGCCTCACAAGCATAATAAGAATGAATAACTGCTGAGAAGGGGTGTCCGGAAAGCGGCCTATACTACGTTTGCCATAAGACTTCTAGCAGAAAATTCTTGGTTGATACAACAGCCTCACTCAGTATCATCCCTCACGCTGCATTCCACCAATAAACTCCACATTGTGACTTTCAGGTAGAAAACGATAACCCTTGACAGGAGCCTCAGTAGATTTTCACTTTCACTGACCTGGACCTGCCAATCCTCGATATCGACCTCCTACGAAAATATGACTTATTAATGGTAACCTCAAGAGAAGTTCGACAATGAAAGAAAACCCCTAGGATACAAACAGCGAGGCGACCAATCGTTGGATCTAGTCCATTCCTAGCCAGTATCAAAAGAAAGGCTCCGGCAAATACTGGCGGAATTCCAACTCTAGCGGCAGCCAACCCTCAAACTCTTAAGTCGCGTCCAAAATTTACTGATGCTATATCACTAACTGACTTGGGATCATTCTGAAATATGGACACCTGAGTCCATATTGTCGTCCCTGATATTAGGAAAGCGACTAACATTGCTCAATATGACATTACATTTCACAATCAAAGCCGGGCGGAAATGAGATTCTATCCTATTATGGCCGCGGACCACCTTCCATCTCGCTTTTTATCCAGGCAAAGCCATGTATTCTAGAAAGGCTTTATCTTAAGAAACTTAATATTCTTTTTAAGGTGTTTAATACTATCACTTCAGCGTTACTCAAAAGGTACGTAAACCTATTGGAAAGAAAGGTAGAAATACAAACTGTGGTTTTTTGACCTCAGCACAAACCATTTGATGATAGGATGCAGAAACTATGTCTCTTAATACCTAGCTATCGCTCAGGTGTGACCTGGAAATTTCGTAGATGACAATTTATTGCCCCTCTACTGGCATCCTTGGCTGCTTTGATATCTGCGTAAAGTTTTAGGCACTGTTTGGACGGCTATCCAGTCTGTTGTTGAACTAATCAAAGCAACTGTTGATCTGACCAAAGTGACATGTAGCTTTCACATGTCTCACCATGAGCTTGGTCTTTCAGCTTAACTACGCATATCTAAGTCCATGCCAGTTTTTCCTCCTCACTCCTCTGTTTACCCTACTTATCCATTTATTTGAATATTTGAACTTTGGCCTACTTTTCTGCAAGCATCGTTCCTCTATAATCACCTTTTTCGTAGAACGACTAACCTCAAAAGGATTGACATCGTTCAGAGTATTGTCACGGATTTGCCAGAGAACACATAGCGACACAAGCACTAACGGTTGATGAGGATGGCACCCAACTACTCATATCACACACTTATGCATGCTTTTCAGATTATCACTTATGGTACCAGACATACCAAATATTGGGATATGAATAATTTCAGTTTCGAATGGAAACTGTGGTGAGAACTTACTGCGAACTGTGTAAATTGCAAATCGAGAATACGATGCACAACAAATTACCACCTAAATTAAAAAGCAACCTCCCTTTTACCCCAAGGTACAACAATTCTAGCCCAGAAAATTATGGAAGCGTTACTACACAAACAATCAGAAAGCAGCATAATAGATATATCAAAATCAAAGGATATCAGATAATGGGAATGTTTAGTCTATCTCCCTATCAAAAATTCTGCAAAAGATGGGTAATGTTTTCTGCATTACTGTTAAAGGATGCTTGGGATGCTGTTTCACCTTGCAGTCCAAATTGAACGCCTTCAAAATTATAGGAGGGAATTTAAGAGTATTCTGTTCGGCGGGGATTTTGACGTATACAGGCGTGTGTACGAGGATGGCTTTAAGGACACAGTTTGAAGGTCATAATGACATCGGAGTTTTCTCGAAGCTTACAAATAATTACTGTTTGGTTGCCGTTGGAGGTTCTGAGAATTTCTACAGGTATTTTTCTCTCTACTTATCAGCAACTTAAAAGTGTTTTTGAAGCTGAGCTTGCTGATAACATTCCTGTTGTCCATACAACAATTGCTGGCATACGGACCGTTGGAAGACTAACTATTGGTATGTGTGTTGTAACCTATCGGTACATATTTTTGGTTTCACTCTCTGTGATTGATGTAAAGTTATACGATGAAAGTGAAAACTGGTAAAAATTGTCCATATAACAAGCAAGGGCATTAACTAGGCTGGCAATAAGCTAAGGAGCCAGTAGGAGTCGATTAGATGGTAGACACGTTTTATTAGGTTCTGTCAGTTAAAACCTCAATGGTTTACTCTTTGCACACAACTGAATTACTAGATTTCATTGATCAGAGTATTATTCTCTCATTTTGTATTCTTTGAATACGCAACTGTAGACACTTAGCTGGACCTGCTTTGATTTTCAATTTACATGGAATGAAAGTTGCTTACTACGGCCCTGGAGATACACTTTGTACCAAGAGTTGCATCTTATTGTCGCGCTTGCTTAACGTGTCATTGTAGCATAGTATCTGCTTTTTGGAGTATATTGTGGCCTGGCTGGTCAACTTGCTGACCTTGTTTGTGGTAGGAAAGAAAAGACTTGGAACATACTTTATACCAATATAAATACGAAGAGCAGGTTTGAAAAGAGTATTAACATTATAAGAAGGCACAGTATATTGAATATAAAGCCTGACAGCAGTCTCTCAGTAACTGTTGAAATAACATTTTTCATAATTAGAAAATATAAAGCGAAGCATTGTAAGATGTATCTACAAACTTCGGTGTTACATAATATCTCGTGCACACCAAAGATGGATTAAACTGTTGATTTCATCCGTTGGAATGAACCAATTAGTGTTCCATACAAATGCAGTGGAAAACGTCCTTATATTTCAACTGTTAGTGTGAATTTTCCTCTGGATTTCTTTCTTCGTCTTATAGTTTACTCTGCTGTATTGCAGTGATATGGCACGTTGCTACAGTTGCAATATCTGTTTGTTCAATATCCTTGCGTTATCCCTAACCTTATTCGTTTTAAGGTAACACTCATGGCCTGCTCGTACCGCACACGACGACCGATCAAGAGTTGTTTCACTTAACAAACTCATTACCGGATAAAGTGAAAGTAATGCGCATAGAAGAACGCTTATCAGCACTTGGGAACACAATGGCTTGCAATGATTACGTAGCTCTAGTCCATCCTGATCTGGATAAGGTAATAATAATTATTACTGATTTTTCAATTGAGATAGTTTGTCTGTAATTTGCTTTGATTTTCATCCAACCTTCTTACTAACATGGGAATCTGAATTTTAGTCCAGATTTCCTATTCATTGTTTCATTAATTAGGAATCTGTTCAAAGAAACATCTGTTTTCTTTAGTGTTCTGTTCTGACTGCTACCACCCAAAAGATGTGAATACACATTATACACAGCCTGACCACTATTACTACCGACGTGATTATATGGTTTATATTACTTTTCCTTTAAGTCTAAGGTGAATTAGAGTGTACCACTGGCAAAGAGGGCGAAATATGAATGTCTAAGGCAAGAGTGAACTAGTTACATATTTTGCTTATTTAACTTATTCAAAACAAACTGGTACATTATGGGCACTAAGAGATGCGCTACACAAAATCTCAGTTTGTGCGATGGCCAGAACACTTCTCAGACCGAAGCAGGTGGTTACCTTAAGGGACCACAACCCCAGTCTGATCTACGAGGCAGTGCAGCAGCATCAGTAGTTAATTTCAAGTGTGTCCCGGTGATCAAAACAGGTTCATACGTCATTTGATCCCTTCGAGTTCTGGGCCCCGTATACACCATAAGTTTGGAATCACAGTTTTCCAGCTGCATGTCCACCAGTCCGTTTAAAAGCGCCGGGTGTTAGCTTTCTCCCCTCATATTTGTAAGGAATACCTTCGTTGCGTGAAGGCAGTGAATGGCACTTACTTGGTAGAGGCTATAAACGCATGAAAGCATGAAAGGCCCACCGTCGGCCTCATCAGGTCACTTATGGAGGTATGGGACTTATTTGTTAATCAAGACAATAATAAAATAGTACCATAGTCTGTATATGATGGATAATAAGAATCGGTCAGTTTCATTAGTTATAATCGGTGCTTCTACTTTTAGCACTGTACGCGTAAATATGGTAATATCTAACCAAGAAAAATAGTTGTTAGGAGTTACTATGTCAGACAGATGACACAAATAAGTGTTGGCCATTGGTTACACACATCTGGGAATCCCGTAGGTAAACTATTTATGGTTTTATGATAAGAAATAATGTTACAGTTCAGAGGCGACCAAATTCAATTAAAAGTAAAGCTCTGAGTGAACAGTCTAACAGCATAATTGCAACATTCAACAAAATGAAGGTAGCCTAAGATACATATTCTATATTGGTTGTGAACTATCCCATGTATTTTATAGTTACTCCGCTTATCTCAAATTCCAAGTGTGAAGGTATGTATTCTTAACAATTACAACTGTTATTTGCGACCGCAGAGATAAACGAGATGGTTCCATTTTGGGTAAAATTTATTTTGATAGAGTCTCAGTGTTATACAGTAATATTTACTGATGACTATTCGTGCACAATTTATCACTGCTCATAATCATATCAATGTTTTTGAGCACCAAAGCCATCCTTTACCAGGTACAGACATATTACAAACATCATTCAAAATCCTTGACCTCATGAGATTTTTGACCTATGTAAGCTTCCAAATAAGGAAATAAAGTTTTATAAGTATTGAGTCTTAGGTATTGAGTTGTGATCTAATTCTAAATATTAGTAATATATAACTAACTAGCATGTTAAGGTTTCATCCTTTTGTCATTTATGTTTTTTGATGTTACAACCTTGCGTTAGCACTAAACTGTGTAAGACGGTAATCTTCACTATTGTACTTGCTATTTCAAAGTGAAGCATCTTATTTTCATACACTTCTCTTCAGAGTTATACTTTCTTCGATCTGCCGGATGATTGTGAACCAAATTTGAAAGAGAATTGTGTTGAATGCAGTTTTCATCAAAACTAATCAATTTGTGAACGATAATTAAAGCACGATTTGAACAGAGTCGGTTTGTTGAATATTTTAAGCATTAGTTTTCAGTGAACACTGTGAACTGTTCAGAAATATGTTTCAGGAATAAATATTGATCCTACGGTAATAATTCCTGACTTAACGACATATTATTTTTTATTTACTGCATAGAAACTAATAATGGTGTTTGTGTTAACTAGGAGACAGCAGAATTAGTCAGCGACGTGTTGAATGTTGAAGTATTCCGTGGGGTTATCGCGAACCAATCTCTTGTTGGAACGTATTGTGTATTAACAAATCAAGGTGGTTTGGTTCATCCAAGAGTTACGGTCGACGAATTAGATCAGTTGAGTAGCCTTCTCCAACTTCCTTTAACGGCTGGTACCGTTAATCGAGGGAGCCCTATTATTGCAGCTGGACTTGTGGTCAATGATTGGACGGCATTTTGCGGCCTAGAAACGACGAGCACAGAAATTCAGGTAGGTGAAGATGTTTCTTTCTGAACCCCTTTTTATATTCACCTCGTAGTATTATACCGTCCAGTTTGTTAGAGCTACTCATTGATTGTGTTTAAATTAACTCGTAATATTAATTACATAAGTGATACAAATTCCTATTAATTTTCCCAGGTGATTGAATCAATATTTAAGTTGGATGGTGATATGAACATTCCCGCAATGGATTCAATGCATGACGCTTTAGTTGAAAGGTGAGTAGTACTTTTGTTTAATTTAAGTGATTTTGATTAACGAGGAATTGTATGTATTTTTTCCATATCCTTACTGCTCGATATCAATTCAAATGGTTAGGACATGTGTTACGCCATCTTTAGCCATCACCTTCCTCGACAAGTAATATTCGCTGACATAGTGTCAGGTTGAAAAAGAGCGATTTTCAAATCAAAACATCGTCTCAGTCGATGGAACTCATGACAGTTAGTTTAAGCCATGTAGGGCGGTGCCTCGGGATGGCTGGAGACAATTGGTGATATGGCTCAAAAGCGTTCTCAATGGCGCAGATGCATTCACTCTTTGTGATTTATAATATCTGATAAAAATATACTGTTCTTCCATATTACTATTCTTCTCCCCTCACACTTTTGTTTATTTTGTCTCTTGAATATCTGTTTACTCTCTTCTGTTGCTTTGTGTGCTACATGAAGTGTGGCAACACGAACTGTAGATCTCTGCAAATTTCTATGTTGAAACCAGTCAGTTCTATACTGATGTCATCCTGGGAGACAGACGAAGGATAGTTGCTGAGTGTTTGAACAGATACAGCAGTTTTGTTTAACGACATCATACTTATGTCATATACATTAACCTAGTTTGCTTTGTTCTTGCATTACTATCTGTCTTATTCATTCAATCCCAGGTAGGATTTAAACTGCAAACCTTTGTTTAGTGAATGAAACAGCTTTTTCAAGACAATGCGTTCATTTCCAGAATGTAATATCTGGATATTTGAATCGTGTATACAGTTATAGTGTTACGACAAGATTATGTGTATTCGTTTAAAACACCCGGTTTATTTTCTTTTCAATTATTACCTAGGATTTTTATTGCATCTCACTATTCACACAGATCTTATTCTGTGAACCACTTCATCCTAATTAGTGGATATGCATCGCCCCCAACCATTGTCGTTGCTGGGACAACCATCCACACACGTGACATCTAATTGTACCTCACTGGTCGCGCTAAATCACGAATTAGTAGAAGTTAGAATTGATGAGTCATTGAATTGGGTCCCAGTGGCTGAATGGTATACGAGCTTGCCTTGTAACCGGTAGGTCCTGAGTTCGAATCCCAGTGGGTGCGTACTACCGATGATTCCCAAACTAGGATGAAACAGCTGTCCAGTACTCCCTGGTTTTCAATGGTTCTCTAACTGATATCAATCCGTGATCAACTCGTAAAAACATAACTAGTCCTTGCAAACCTAACTATAGGAAACAAAAGCATGTATCACCGTATCAGCTACTAAACTATGACGATATTATTAGACTTTTTGCAACAAGATGGATGACGTAGGTCAGTGACCGAATAACTGGACTTAAATTGCTGTAATTGTTTGTAGTGATCCTCTAGAAGTGAAAGTAGAATAGAGTAATCTTGAAATTGTATCATTCCTTTGCAATTCCGAGTTGTTTTTTTATTCCCGTACGTTCCCAGTGGGACATTCGGCTTCAAGCTAAAGGCGGCCGGGGATTGCACCCCGAACTGCATGCGTGGTTGTGCCATCGACGCACAATTTCGAGTTGGTTTTGTATATTACACAAACTAGAAGATCGAATAGTAAAAATACTGTACACACTTATCAGTATCAGCGCCTCATTTATAGCTCTTTATTATCATCAGTTGAAGCATATATAAAAATGTAATTGTGTATATTTGACTTTTTTTCCTTCTCCCTCACAGCCTCAGCTGATTCATCCTTTCGGATTTCAGAAGGACGTTGGTTCATCAGAGTCATATTCTTGCATACCTACCCACTATTGTGTATTTATTTTCAAATTAAAGACACGGCATTTTGTTCCTCAATGTGCAGATGACTTGTACAACTAACTTTTACTCATTGCTCTAATATATAAAAAATTCAAAGTTGGATTTTTTTCTTTTTTCCACAATCCTGGTGGTCATTTCCCAATTTTAAAGGAAAGACCGGTTTCTTAGATTAAAGCCAGTGGGAACATGACAATAAACCACAGCATGCTGTTTATTTTTGCGAATATTACTGTAAGTAACAGCTAAACAAACTGTCGGCTAGAAAAGATTATAATATAGAGTAAACAAAAGAAATACGCAGTGAAATGATAAGATACTCCCTCGACTGTTCACTTACTGTAAATGTCCTGCATTTCATTGTCCAGCCTCTAGTGAAGTAGATAAACCTGATTGTTTGGCACGCAGGGAACATTTTAATGCAAAGACTAGCTATGGAGTCTGTCATATTTATTTTCGCAGTTCGTGTCCTTTTAGGGTTTAAATTATCTGCAGCTGTCCATGTACTTTCTTACAAAAAGTTGAAATATTTGTGGGTTAATTTCATTCAAACACCCCTCAAGTTCTGTTTTGGTGGTAAACCACTTCGTTCAACAAAAGTGAATAAAAACTGTGGTTCCACAGATTTTCAACCAGCAAATTTTCAGTCAAGGCTGACTGACTGAGTCTCAACTTAGAAATTTGCACAAAAGTGCAATAGTTCGAGTCACCATACCGTGTAGCACGCAAAGGTGGACAAACACGAGAAAAAAACCCATCATAAGCAGAAATGTGAAGGAATAGGGTTAAATGAATATCGCAGGTCAAAAAGAGTGAATGCATTTGCATCACTGAGAACAATTTTGAGCCATATCATCAATAGTCTCCCGAGGGCGCCAACATCGCTCAAACTAACTATCCGAGATTCGATGCACAGATCCCAAGTTTTGATTTGACTACTACCAGGTCTTTTTCAACTTGGTCGTATGCCAACAAACATTACTTATCGAGGAAGGCAATGGCTAGGCATGCGCAACACGTGTCCTAACTATCTCATGCTTCACAACCTCATTGATTGACTTACTTTCTCTACTTGACGCCTAACATCTATATTATTCAATACATTATGTCACGTAATACGGGAGACAGAACACAGACACCTAGGATCAAAGACAGTTGGCATTTTCTTATCTTCCACTTTCAATATCTATGTCTCAGTCATAAATGAGGATGGAGCGAACTGATGCTCGGTACACACGTCTTTCGATAGTGGGATATCACTTCTGCTCCAGGAATGACATCAGATAGAAAGTTCCACACGAGCCTATTGTGTCCGTATTGAGATTTCGTCAGCAATCAGTTCATTGGGGCTGACGTGACCTCCCAAACAAGTGAATTGATCAACAAGTTCTATGGCTGTAAGCTAGGAGTCGATGTATTCTGGTCCTGTAGCATTATCTTACATCTGATAGAAGCGAATCGCATGCGAAAAATTCGTAAATTCCTGCTCAAGGTCGTCAAAAGACCACTTTATCAGCCTTTTCACCTGGCAGGACTATATCATCGGAATATTCTAAGTGAACAAGACCGTAGCCTGGTAACAAGATAGTCTCTAAGTTGCTGAAGTTAGTTAGAGTTGATTCCATCAGTAAGTCTATGATGAAATTAAACAAAATTGGGGACAGTGGACATTCCTGACGGACTCAGCTGGATGTCATTATTTCAGGTGACAACTATCCACAAGCTTTTACACGACTGTGTGAGTTCAAGTAGAGTGCTTTGGTCAATGCGATGTACTTTCCGGGAGCTCTATTCACGGCCAAACTTCGCCATAGCACCTCTAGTCGACGGAGCCCATTACTGCCATCAAGTCAAGAAATATAAAAATTGCTGGGCGCCGGAAAGTATTCCAGAATCTGTCTAAGGCTGAAGATAAGATCAATCGACCCTATTCCTCGTCTTAAGCCCATCTGGTTTTCTGGCGTCCGCTTCTCCCAAGCACCAATTTATCTATGCATGACCATTGAGGCTAGAGCTTCAGACACCAAGCCAAGCGACTCCACCTATGATTATCACAGGATGACTTGTATTCCTTTTTGTAAACTAGGATAATCGTGACCTACACTAGTCTAAAGTTCGCCTAGTTTTCCATCGCGTTAGTTTTTTAGCCGGTTCCAAGCCCGGGATAAGATGGCGGTTGGGTGTGGAGCTAGCAACTCTACCCGGAAAATCAACCCAATCTCTACAGAAACTACAAAGCAAAAGAAAAGTTTAAAAACAAACTGACTTTTCACTGCAATCGGAGAGACGAAATGACACAGCAGGCTGTCGAAAGTCTTCGGGAAGCAAGTCAGCCGATGTGTCTTCCTATGAAAGCGAAAATACGAACGGGCACGTGGAATGTTCGCCAAATTTACGAAGCTGGGAAGGCTGCCCAAATTGCCGAAGAAATGAGGATATACGGAATAAAAGTGCTAGGAATCTGCCAAAGCAGGTAAAATCGACGTGGACTGGAGTATCAACAGTCTACTCTGGTCACTCACACGACAACCATGAGCACACTGAAGGAGTGGCTACCGTGATGTCACACACATCAGAAAAATGTCTTATGCAGGGGGACCAATCCCCTCCAGGATTATGACAGCGAAATTCAACTCAAAATGAAGATTACAACTATCCAACGCTACAATCAACTTAGAAGAGGAGAATTTGGTAGATTTCTAATGGACAACACACGAAATAGTGATATCGAATTCCCGAAGTTTACTATAAATGCTCAACTGGGAGCAGACAACAGGAAGAGAACTCAAAATAGGTCAAGAGGCTCTCGACGAAATGAATGATAACGCATAACTCTGCACTGATTTATGCGCCTTCATTTAACTGGTGATTGGAGGCAGCGTGTACAACCACAAGGACATACACATAGTAGCGTGGATTTCACCTGACGGACACACCACAAACCAGATAGATTTCATCTCAATGCTGCTCAAGGAAGTGGAGACCCATCCTGCTGGACACAAAGTCTAGGAGGGGAACAGATGTGGACTCAGACCACTGTATAGTTCAGGGAACCTTCAAGGTGAAACTGAAATCCATGAAAACAACTAAAGACAGACGGCAATTCCAGTTCAACACTTAAAAACTGAAGGACAAAACAGCAAAAGATACCTTCACTGCAGCTATCATAGCAGATTCGAAGACACTAGGCGGTATCACTGAAGTCACCTGTGTGGAAGAGCATTGGAACACTATGAGGGTGGTGTACAACCATCTTAGGAATAAAGAGGAGACGAGACAAGGAATGGCTCTCAACAGACACCTGGAAGCTAATAGAAGTGAGGGGCTGGTGAAAGAGAAGATGCAACAGTACAAAGATGGACAGCAGAAGGAGAAGCTGAGTTCAATACACACTGCACTCAATAAAGAAGTGACAAGGATTGTTAGGAAACACAAAGGACAATTCTACAACACACTGGCAAATGAAGCAGAACAGGCAGGTCGCAAGTAAAAGAAACCTTAGAACATTCTATCAGATAACCAGATCTCTATCCAGAAAGAGATCAACCCAGATAATGGAACTAATAAAAGATGCTCGAGGGTATCCGATGATCATGGAGGAGAAATAAATAAAACAATAGGCTGGTCACTTCAAAGGACTCTTGAATCGACCATCACCTGCAACTCGCCCAGAAATACCACCCCTGAAAACACGCACAGAACTGCCTGCCAGTGAACACCAGTCCTCTAACGAAAGCAGAAATCCTGAGTGAGATCAGGCTACTGAAGTCCGGGAAGGCAGCAGGAACTGACAGAATTCCTTTAGAAGCACTGTAAAGTGGTCCTTAGATCACAGCGGATGTACTTATTCCACTGTGACAGAAAGTTTGGAAGGAAGGTTGCCTTATCAGACTACCAAGGGAGGGCGACCTAGGCCTTTACAAGAGCTGAAGTGGAATGATGCGCTTGTCTACACCAGATAAAATACTAAGTCGCGCCATCCTGAAGAGAATAAATGATGGATTGGATGCAGAACTCCGTCCGTCGAAACAAGCTGGATTACCGAAAACCAAATCCTGAGGGGATCAAATCGCAACTCTACGAATCGTCATCGAACAAAGTATAGAATGGTGGTCAAATCAATAACTCAACTTCATTGACTTTCAAATGACCTTTGACTGCGAAGTTACTTGAAAACTACTTCAATATCATGCAGTGCCCCAAATCTTTATCAACCTCACTCACCAAATATATGACAATGTCACGCGTCAAGTGACCCACAACGGGAAGCTCAGCAAGGAGTTCGAAGTGAATACAGGAGTAAAACAAACTTCCGGTGATATTCTTAATTGTGATAGACTGACTGGATTATGCGTAAGACTGTGGGGAGCGAGGAGACAGAAGTGAGCTGGACCACCGATAATAAGACTCTAGAAGATCTGGATTTCGCGGATGGATGATTTGTGTCTAATGTCACACAAACTTGAAGACTTGCAAGGGAAAAGCACAAACTGGCTGAAGAGGCTAACAGCAAACACAGAACACAAACAATACGGAGGTAACGAAGATCCAATCACTACCAACGGAAGAAATTGAAAGAAGTCACTCTCTTCACTTATCTAGGCAACATCGTTCCGACTACAGACGCAGGCACAGATGAGGATGTCAAGACCAGCCAGAATCAGAAAGGAAAGGCAAATCTTCATCACTTTGAAGTCAGCTTGGAAATCCTCTGCACTCCACCTCAGCATAAAGAACAAGATTTTGACTTTCAACACCAATGTTAAGTCAGTCAGTTCTGCTATATGGGTCAGAAACTCGCACTGTGCGTCACGGAAAGCATTTCCGACAGCCAGCTGCAGACTTTAAATTAACAGCTGTCTTCACTCCATATTGAAGATCAAATGGCGAGCCAGAAAGAATCAGCAACAAGAAACTCTAGGAACGATACGATGAGGGATTTATTGCTCAACAAATATACCAAAGAGAATGTAGGTGGATCTGACACACACACAGAAGACCGTCGAATCACCGCCTGCCACACCGAGTAAAACCCGATTGGGAAACGACAAGTTGAGCGTCCGACGGTGATATGGAGGAAATGAGAGACTTTAGGTAATTTTGGGGCCGACTGAAGATAAGCGTAGAGAAC